GTGAAATTCTTATGTGGGAAAAGAAATGCAATATAATTAACTAGTCAAGCTTTTCCAAAGAGATCTAAACTATGGCCATTTTTTAAAAAGAAAAGCCATGTTTCAGAGTCTCCAGCAATGAAGAGAATTGTGGTGTCCTGGGGCTCGGGTTTGGATCCTAAGTCTTCCTCTTATCAGCCGAGTAATGTTGAGCAAGGTGTGTCCTCTCCCCGCACTGTGACTTTCTTCTGTGTAAAAACGGGAATGAAACCTACCTTGCACTAGAACTGTCAGGATTAAGTTACTTTTGTGACAGTGCCAAGCCCCATGCCTGGTACATACACAGAGATCTATAAATGTTATGTTTTCTTTCTATTGCCTGTCAGACAAGATTGAAAAATTTTGTGAAATCCAAACACTGTAAATATCCAAATACCAGAGAAACAAAAAGATGAATTAACAATCCACTCTACCAACTGAAGGACTGCTGAGCAGAATGAATAAAATAACAAACTGACACAATTAACACACTCTCTAACACTTTGGGAACTTGATAGAATTTGCATTTTTTGTAATGCTAAAAATAGTCATTAAACTACTCCTTTTTTTTTTTTTTTATAATTTTATTTTTTTATTTATTTTTCCCCCAAAGCCCCAGTAGATAGTTGTATGTCATAGTTGTACATCCTTCCAGTTGCTGCATGTGGGACGCGGCCCCAGCATGGCCGGAGAAGCGGTGCGTCGGTGCGCGCCCGGGATCCGAACCCGGGCCGCCAGCAGCAGAGTGCGAGCGCTTAACCGCTAAGCCACCAGGCCGGCCCTAAACTACTCCTTTTATAGATCACAAATGCCTATAACGTTAATTAAGCAGTAACTATGTAACAAGTTCTGAACTAAGTACTTTAGAAAGATTATATTATTTAATCCTCACTAGCAAGTGGCAGAACCAGGATTTGAACTCAGTAATCTGATGCCAGAGCTCTTAATAATCGTATTATCTGTCTACCTATTAATAAAATGTGGCAAATTTCCTTTGCTGAGAATAACCAACATTTCTTAACCTCTCATTAATTTTTTTTTATAACATGAAATGCCCATTTTTGATAAAGGAAAGAATTTAGACGTTTTCCAGATGAAAAGCTCATAAGTATTCTGCAAAATATTAGAGCATATTAAATCTGAATCTGAATCTAAATCACAATCTGAGTCTAAATTAAAGTTATAAAAAAATTAAATTCCAGTCCTGTGTAATATTTAAGTATCTGTTATACTTACATAGAATATATACTTTGTACACAGTAAGAAGTCAACAAATACTGATTAGCTATTTAGTTACAGCAGATAAAGCATCAAATTAATAATGTACAAAGGTTTTCCACAGTCAAAATATTTATTTTGTCAGTAACTATAAGCTTTCTCTGGGCGTGAAGAAGGCTGTCTGGGTTATGGGCAATTCAAGTGTTTATTTTCTGGCTGATATTTAAAGGCAAATAATTAAGCAGGGAAGAGAAGTAAGATGACTTTCAGATATTTTTTTAAACAACAACAAAGATGACCAGCAATGTAGTGGGTAGCCCCCCTGCCAAATCCTCTTGCTGCGCCCACAATGGGCAGGCTTCCTCCAACTAAAGATGCCTGGTATCTTTCATCACTTGTCATTACGTAAAATTATTCAAAATTCATATTAGTATGTGAAAAACTTTTCTGTTGAGATTACATATTTTCAGTGGGCCTTGCCAGTCATTTAGTGAAGCAACAATTTAAAAAATATAAATATGTTTGAAATTGCTGAGTACAGAACTCACATCATTATAATCTTATGTTCGGCCTCTGGAACTTGATACAAAGTTAGATTTGAGTTCAAAGTAGGGAAAATTGAACTAAAACATGTAAAAGTTTTTGTGGGGGGCTGGCCCCGTGGCTTAGCGGTTAAGTGCTCGCGCTCCGCTGCTGGCGGCCCGGGTTCGGATCCCGGGCGCGCACCGACACACCACTTCTCCGGCTATGCTGAGGCCGTGTCCCACATACAGGAACTAGAAGGATGTGCAGCTGTGACATACAACTATCTACTGGGGCTTTGGGGGGAAAAAAATAAATAAATAAAATCTTTAAAAAAAAAAAAAAGTTTTTGTGGGGTTGTTTGTGTGTGCACGTTGTTAAAGAAGGTATAATTGCTTAACCAGCTACTCTTGTTTCTCTTACTAGAATATAAATAAAACCAGATCACAATCCAGAAAAACTTGCTTTACCACAAACATATCAAATCTGTATTGGGCTACAAGGAACGGAGAACTAAAATCTCTTCTTAATACATGTTATATTTTAGATAATAAAGTGTATACAGTAGGATCTTCTCATGAAATTTTGCTCTAGAAAAATCTCCATTTTGAGGTACTGCCATATTCCTTTATCTGGTTTATTGTTTCTCTGGCAGATTCTGTCAGCATCATGAGCCACACTGAGTACTTATTCTGTGTAGTTAGACTTATGAAGCAAAAAGCAAAAAAAAAAAAAACCTTGTTTGCTGAAAATAGAAAGTGAAAGAAAAAAATGAAACCTCATCATTTCTCTAGTTTATCAGTAAATAACTGCTAAAAGGGAGAGGGGCAGGCAATTATTATATGAATAAAAGATGATTAATTATACATCATTCTATCATCCCACCAACAGTATATATCATAATTTTAAAAGATTATAGTGAATAAGTGGGTCATTAACCTGGAACACTATAAAAACAACCCAACAGTAAAGATAATTAAACAACCAGTAATAGTCCAGTCAAATGAAACATTCTTAATGAATTCCAACACTTGTCATATATTTAAATTAGCTAGCTAGAAAATATTTTTTAAAAGTCAGTAATTCAAATGGAAACTTTATATTGATTTAAAAAGTCTGATACCATCAATTTGGATCCAGCTCACCTTACTGTAAACAAGAGGTAGAAAAATGAGAGTCAGTAACTAAAAGCCTGAACAATCCAAAATGGATAACTGGATTGTAAATAATTAACATATATACTTTCTATGAAAAACTAATCCCATATTTTACAAAGGCACATCTACTCCCCATGATTCAGTTTCTACTTCTGCATGGTCTTGTAAACAGAAGATTTAAACAAGTATAAGATATCAGATTCCATCTATATGCAAACTGACATGTTAATTACACATTACCTTACCAACTCATTAAAGCTGATGGCCCATGGTGCTTTATATATCAACACTTTGTATTTACATTTAATTGCACATATCTGAAAGTAATGAATCTACTACAGAGTAAAACACAATTTTCTATGTATATGTTTCAATGATTTTGATTGTCCTCCAATTTAGAAATCACTGACACTGCTGAATGAAACTAAGTTCCATAATATGGTAACTTGAGTACAGATGAATCCCCATCTTCCAGTGATCATTGAGATGGCCAAGGAAATATAAAGAAAACCTTTATTAGCACCAAAACCTTGGGAACAGTATCAGTGACACCACACATCCCAAACCTCCAGGGATTTCTATAACATAGTAGGTGAAGAACCAATATAGGGAAAGGCAAACCCACCATACTTATTGAATGTAAAAGACCAACTCGTCAGTCTGGGAGACAACATCTAACAGAAAGCACAAAGGACGGACTTTAAAGTAGGCAGTTAAGTGCAAGACATATAATAAGGATGCCTCAAAGGCCTCTGGAAAGTGAGATATATATCAAAGATTTAACCCAGTCACTCATTACCTAAGAATTTACACTAAAGAGAAAACTGGACACATAAATATGCAAAGATATATGTTTAAGTATGGTAATCACTATAATTAATAATAATAATAATAAATAAATAATAGGGAAAACGGAACAATTTAAATATCCATTAATAAGAAATTGGTATATGATTTTACCCAAATAATGGAATATACATATATGTAAATTTTCACTGACACGGAATGAGCTCCATAATATACTGTTGAAGGGAAAAAAAAGCGGATTAAAAATAACATATATTATGAATAGTTATACACATGGAGTGAGAGCTGCAAAAATTATCATCAAAATACAAATGGGCGTTGCCTCTGGGTGGTTGGATATTTGATAATTTTTACTTTCTTCTTTATAATTATTAGAATTGCTTAAATTTTCTAAATAAATGTATACTGTCTTCGTAATAAGAAAAAAATTCTCTTCATGTTGGAAAAAGAAAGTATATTTATTTTTAATACCACAAGTCCATTTGAGAGAAATTCTCAAGAAAATAATTGGAAACATCCATGAAGATATAGATTCAAAGATGATTATCATAGAACTTTTTATAATAGTGAAATATTGGCAACAGCCTAAATGATCAATGGTGAATTTGTTAAATAAACTTTAGAATAACTATAAAATGGCATACTATGACGCTATTAAAAATTAACACAAAGATATATCCATTACTAGCTCAGTGACCTTGGAAATATTACATATCCTCCAGGTATCAGTTTCCTCGTCTGTAGAATAGGGATAAAAAGAACACTTATCTCATAATGCTTTATGTGCTATTGTAATAGGAAACAAAAAACATGATGTTTATGAGCTTCTTTCGATATCACATCCCCTATTTCAAAACCCACTTTGCTATATGCTTTTAAAAAATATTGCAAGATCAACATTCAATTTGGCCATCAATCAAGTTAAGAAAATATGAATCTAAGACCACAAAGGCAATGAATACCAAAGTTGAAAATAGGAAATTCCTGCAACTTCTAGCCTATTTTTTAAAAACTCCTATACATATTCACAAACTAAGCTTATTTATTCACCTATACATGTAGAAAAAATAGTGATGGAAGATAGAACCAGACTGATCTGTATGCCTGTGGCACTGAGACAGGTCCCAATAAGCAGTCGCCAAGATAACAGTGACAGAGGGAACTGGCAAGCCTACTTAATTGAACAAAACAATTTATATATACATACCAGTTAACTTCATCAGTTTTACTATCATTGTACAAACATTTATTTTACTGCTTTAAATAGCTGAAACCAACCTGCCATGGTCTTTCCCAATCGAGTGGAATAGGAAAGGCTCCAAGCCATGTTCCTACAAAACTAGAAATGGTAGTGATCTGGAGACTATTCTCCCAAACAGATGTAACTCTGTAAAACACAAATATGTAAATCACTGGTGGTATATATCTTAGTTGCTGGAGAATTAAACAAACAGGAGCATAAACTAACACTATACATATATGTTCTGTTCTTTTAAAATTAGCATCTCAAATTGACATAAAAATATTTACCATGAACTATTAACAATTAATTCCAATTTTCAGTTAAAAAGGTAATATATGCACATGGTGAAAGTCAAACAATACAAAAGAGCATTTGCAATGAAAGCTAAGTCTTCTCCCACCCTTTCCAGAGCAACTGCTATTAGCAACTTAATCCATATCCTTCCAGATATTTTATGCATGCACAAATACATATACAGTTTTGTTTAGAATGATACATGCTATGCATATTTGCAAATATGCACACATATATGTATATATCCTTCAAAACAAAACTCAAATGCATCATGTTATAAACCCAGTTTTGCTGTTGTGTTTTCCCTTAACAGTTATACTAGATTCCATCATATGGAGGGAGTATTATTACTCAACTAGTCCTGTGTATGGCACATTTCATTTAAACAAATCAACTCTATTTGGTGGGGCAAGAGTAGAGAACGAAAGCAAAATATTTCAAAAGATCCAGTGATTCTGCCCACCATGCTTATTTATTAAGTGCACATCTTAGAGTGCAAAGGTGGAAAGACATAATTCTGCCATTCTCTTAGATCTTAGTTTCAGCCTGTCTCTCATAGCATTACTTAGCTGCGTAGAACATGAGCCTGGTTACAGTAGAGTAAAACCCCACCACAATGCAGTAATGGGGGGTCCAAATATTCAATTGTTTAAAAATACGAAGTTGACTTATTACGAAGTTTATGAGAAGCAGTTTCTTCCAGCTAGTGTGGAAAAAGAGGAAAACATTTGTTTTGTTAGATGACTTCTTTCATTAGAAATTGGCCAATTACTACACACAAAATGTACACTGAATTAAAGAAGTCCCAGATGACAAGTCAGTTCATAAATCAATCCTTCTATCACCTGTCCATCTCATTACTCCCCCTCCCCACCTATATAAAGTAAGAGCTTTAACTTGTTTCTATTGAAAATTGAGGCTGGAAGAAGGTTCGAGGCAATCACCACATATCCAAATTTGTGTTATTTGCTGGGCTTTATTATCTTTTTTTATTTTACATAACACCTATAAATGCAAGTATGTTTCTTCAACTAACATTCAACAGATCAGCGATCTGTTCCAATCTTGGGAAAAAACTGGCAAGTTGAACACAAAGAGAGAACTGTACTGTTGGGCAATTTAAAGGATTTTCTAAGGTAAATTTTGACTATACGTGGCTGACAAATGTTGACTAGCTTTTACTTAACACGCAACTCCTCTATTTGCAATCCATAAGTGATGTGCCTAGAGACATAAAGTGTGGTAGATGTTGAGAGCAGAGTTTACTTTCTGCTGGGAAGAGTTTACTTTTTCCATTTTATGGAAGAGGAGGAAGTTCAGCTGGATTTGGAAGAACTGGTAGCATTTACTCTTGAAGAACTAGAGAAAGAGCTGTATTGCAGGTAAAAAGGACATAAGTAAAATTGGTTGAGGCCAAGTAGAAGACCGGAAAAGTAGGTTAGAGTTAGGATTTTTTTAAGAAACAGCTTTATTGAGTACAGTAAAAACTTGCCCCAGAAAATCTTTTTCCAGCCATACAACTCACTCATTTAAAGTGAACAATTCAGTGTTTTTTAGTATATTTACAGAGTTGTGCAACCATCACCCCAAAATGAAACCCTTTGCCCATTAGCAGTCATTCCTCATCTCCTCTTCTCCCTAGCCCTAGGCAACCACTAATCTACTTTCTGTCTCTATGGATTTACCCATTCTGACCATTTCATATAAATGGAATCATATAATGTGTGGTCTTTTGTGACTGGCTTCTTGCACTTAGCATAATGTTTCAAGATTCATCTATTTTGTACCATGTAAAAATTCTTTTGTATTGCCAAATAATATTTTGTTGTATGGATATACCACATTTTATTTTTTCCATGCATCAGTTGATGGATATCTGCGTTGTTTTGACTTTGTGGCTACTATGCATAATGCTACTATAAACGTTAATGAACAAGTTTTGTGTGGACATATGCTCTCATTTTTCTGGGGGACAGACTAAGGAATAGAATTGCTGGGTCATACAGTAACTCTACGTTTAACATTTTGAGAACTGCCAGACTGTTTGTCAAAGCAACTAAGCCATTTTATATTCCCCCCAGCAGTGTACAAGTGTTTCCATTTTTCCACAACCTCCCTAACACTTGTTATTATTGATTATAGCCATATCAGTGGGTGTCAAGTCGTATCTCATTGTGGTAGATTTAGGGTTAGGACTTTAGAAAAGCCTTAAAGGTCAAACTAAAGGAGCCACTGAAGGTTTTAAATCAAGGCAGCAATATGATCAGAGCTATGTTTCATTAAGATTTATGTACGTGTCTTATCTAACCTCTAAGCTCCAAGTTCCTAGGGCTAAGGGGCAAGATCCATGTCTTCATATTTTTCATCATTAGAGCACCCTTGTGGCCATCTTATATTTGTTATAATAAAAAGTGCAAACATCCAAGAGGATGTCCTCTATTTTGTTTGTTTGATGTGTCCAAGAATGTTTAGATCTTACACATAATAAATGTAGAAAAAATGGAACCAAGACCTAGTTTAAAAAACACAAAAACTCTAGAGCCTCTCTTTTTAAAATTAAAATTTTACGTTTATCAAAATAGCATATATAAACACCTTTAAAGTCAAAGATCACAATTAGACTAGTAATAATAATAAGAACTCCTCCCTGCATCCCTCCCCACTCCCGATTTCCGATCCTGAGGCAGATACTTGCAACTCTTCACTGTTTCTTCTATGTACTTCAAATTTAAAAGAACATACATTATGTGTAGATTTTTCAAGATTTAGTTACTTTCTGCTTTCTACAATGGAAGAGGATTTAGCGTTCTACCCACAAGCCTCCCATCCCCACATACACATTTCTGACTCCTCATCCCCTCTTGGACAGTAACATCTCCTCTCAGCTGAATCAACAGCACAGTATATACCTTATTATGAGTATGAAAATATTCATCACAGCTGAACCACACAGTAAACCACAATTATATTTCCCTTCTTACAGTTAATTTTTAATTTTCTTTGGATGTTAAGAATTTCCTCTTTTTTACCCTCCATTTGCTAAGGTACCTGTCACACAATCATCCTCAAGTATTCCAAAGAAACTAAACATCACCTCTCAATGCTTGTTGGTGCTCTTTCTCTCTCTTTCTTTTGTGGAGACACTTCACCTGCTCCAAACTGGACTGGGTGCTCGCCAAGCCTAAAGCACAGCTGTATCCTGAGTTCCCTACACCACCATCTTATGAATTCCCTTTGCCTATCTCAGCGCTTTGGGGTCTCCTGCTCCCTGGCTTCTGAGACTCCCTCCTTCTATTTTCCTTTTTCTTTCTTCAAAGCATCTCCTTCAATAGATTCTTGAGAAAGGGTACACAGAAAATAGATTTCAGATGCTTAAAGTCTGAAAATGACTTTACTATAATTGTTGGAAATCATTTTGCCTCAGAATTTTTTTTTTTTTTTGGTGAGGAAGATTAGCCCTGAGCTAACATCTGTTGCCAATTCTCCCCTTTTTGCTGAG